TGTGTTTAAATCGCCACATCCCTTTTGCCAGCTCCCCTCCTAACTCCCATCAGCTTGTGTAACTTGTGTGCTGACCTTGCCCCCTTAGGACAAATGCACTCATCCAGAAGATGTGAAGCTCTGCACTGTCATTGTCAAGTCCAATGGGAGTTTCCCAATTAATAAGCGGAAAGTGGTAAGTGTCACAATGGACTGTCAGCTCTCCAGCACAAGCACGATCTCTCTTTGCCTCTGCCTGGTGCAAAATAAAATTAGGGTAGGTTTCCCTCCCCAGCCTAAAAAAGAAAAGGGTTGTGTAAAAGAAGGGAGTTGCTATGTAGTATCAATTTGGGATTTTTTCATTTGCCTTTTAGGTGATTTTTTATTTTAAGACGTGAATTTCTTTTGGCCTTTTCATGAAAACCTGAAACAAATGATTGGAAGCTGATCTTTCCCAGGGAAATTTCCGTTTTGTTTTGTTTTTTTGGTGGGGGCGGGAAGCCATCTTCCATTTCAATGTCCTTCTGATAGAAAAGCCAGTTCTAGATCTGAGGCTCTCCCCTTGGGTAAGCCTTATAAAATAAGGGAATGATTTAGCGGAAGCAAAGAACCACCGTGAGAGTCACAAACGCCAACGCCTTGCAAAATAATGTTCACAGAAAAGATATATAAAATAAGGGAACATCAGCAAAGAAATGAGCCTCTGTCCCATCACCTCAACTGTCCCAAAGGCATGCTCCCTTCCCCAGACTATCTCTGCAAAAGGAGGAGATGGGCAGTTCAGCTGAGGTTAATCCCTTTCTCATCGAGGCCCAATTAGCACCCCTGCTCCCTTCATAGAAGACAGTATCACTTCTTTGCCCCAATTGCATATTCATCTACCTTTATGTTGGGGGTGGGGGGGTTGATCTTTGTCCAGGAGGCAGTGAATCACATGGAGGAGATGGAGATGGAGATGGTCTCCAGTACCAGCCCCCCCGAGAAATCCAAACACAAATCTGCCCTGCTGAGTAACCACCAACTGGTCATGCCAGCCACTTCCAACCAGTGCGTGAATTCTACACTGGAGTTGCCCTTGGACAGCCCCACAAAAACAGAGAAGAATGGGCATGCCAAGGACAACCCAAAGACGGCCAAGGTCTTTGAGATCCAGTCCATGCCCAACGGCAAGACAAGGACTTCCCTCAAGGCCATTAGCAGGAGGAAACTCTCGCAGCAGAAGGAGAAGAAAGCCACCCAGATGCTAGCTATTGTGCTTGGTAAGAGCTCAGTTTGGCCTTCTTTATGGTCCATGGGCTGCCCAGGACTGGTCTTTTAATGGGAATGTCCACGGAGGACTATTTTGTTAGTCAGATAGGCATGCAGAAGTGCATTTGTTGGTAGAACACATGAGAAAACACGGGGAGGAGCTCAGTGGGTAATGCATGAAGGGAAGAAGTGTCAAATAAGGAGAAAGATGACGAGTGAAAGAGGGAGGTGAGGATACTTTAAAGTGGTCTCTGGAGACAGGGTGTCACATACCGAACGTGAAGTCCTTGTAGGTGTCCCTGACTAAGTTAGGAGAAGCGCCTATGTAACAAAGCAATATGCCGTCAGTAGCAAGGCCAGACATAAGAGGACAACCTCATCTAACACAGAGAGTTGCCCAATTTTGGGGAACCCTGGGTGCTGAGTGGCAATGGCTGGCATGGGGCTCGTGTGATTTATAATGCATCCCAATCACATCGTTAATTCGAACTAGGTAGGCAAATGAGGCGACCGGAGTTGCAAATGAAGCCCGGGATTTAAATATCCCGGGCTTTATTTGCTTGTTCCTGTCTGGTTGCTGTTTTGAAATTTCACTAGCCCAAGCTCACTGCCACGCAGCTACACGCGGCAGTGACACGTTAATTCGAACTAAGTCCTTAGTTCGAATTAACTGTTGCTCCTCGTGGAATGTGGGACTAAGGACTAAGGACTTAGTTCGAATTAATGTGTCACTGCCGCATGTAGCCGCACAGCAGTGAGTTCGGACTAGTGAAATTTCAAAATGGCGAGCAGATGGGAACATGCAAATAAAGCCCGAGATATTTAAATCCCGGGCTTCATTTGCAACTCCGGTTGCCTCATTTGCCTACCTAGCTCGAATTAACGAGCTAGTGTAGACATACCCATAGTGCTTAGATACTTAAGGCCACAATTTTAAAAACAGGTTAGTAAAAGACAAGACCTACCCCTCTGCAAGAAGCAACTTTCTTTTGCCACCATAAGAGGATTATTTGTTGGCTTTCAGGGTATGTCTTCACATGTACCCTAGTTCAAACTAGGGATGCAAATGCAGGCATTCAAAATTACTAATGAAGCGGGGATTTATATATCCCACGCCTCATTAGCATGATCTCGCTGGCGTGCTAGTTTGAATCACAGCTGATTCGAACCAAGAAGTGCGCGCCGGGATGCGGTAGTTCAAACCAAAGCCCTTGGTTCGAAAATGAGGAGTAACGTTAGTTAAACCAAGGGCTTTGGTTCGAACTACCGTGTCCCAGCGCGCACTTCCTGGTTCGAATCAGCTGTGATTCGAACTAGCGTGCCAGCGTGATCATGCTAATGAGGCGTGGGATATTTAAATCCCCCCTTCATTAGCAATTTCGAATGCCTGCATTTGAATCCCTAGTTTGAACTAGGGTGCAAGTGTAGACATACCCTCGGATAATGGGGAGAGATGTATTTCACACAAGAAAGAGTGGAGGTTATGGGCTTGTTGCATGTGTTCTACTTTAATTTTGATACACTAGACTGATCAGGACATGCAAAGGCTGTAGCAGTTTGATCTTTTTTCTTTATGGCCCATCTTGCTTTGTAAGAGCTGCAAACATAAAACAATCCCTCCCCACCCTTGGCCCTGCCCTGCCTCGATTAGGCAGCATCAAAGAGATAGAAGATTAAATTGCTGCCATGCAGGACATGCCTGGAAACACTTGCACTAGGCACAAAGCCATTAACTCTTTTCCACTTTTGTCAACAAAACCCTGTAGTCTAGACACACCCCTAGATAATACTGAGCACCAGTGCAAATATTCCAGGGTTAAAGTGATAGCTCATGGCAATCAAACCGCCATTCTTTCCTTTTTTTCCCCCGCAGGTGTTTTCATCATCTGCTGGCTCCCATTTTTCATCACCCACATCCTGAACATGCATTGTGACTGTAACATCCCACCGGCCATGTACAGTGCCTTCACTTGGCTTGGGTATGTCAACAGCGCCGTCAACCCAATTATCTACACCACCTTCAATATTGAGTTCCGCAAGGCCTTCATGAAGATACTCCATTGCTGAATAAAGCCTGAGAGCAAGACAATGCCATGCACATGCCGCATACACACACACACAGGCGAGTAGGGAGTCATGAGGAGGCCTAGTGTTCTTATATAGGGCCCATGAGCCCATGGTGTTAAGACAGTGCCATGCCCACCCAGCCTTATAAGTGGAATGTAATGGGTGGCTTCAGGTGGGAGGCTCTCTCTTATTCTTAAGGTGACCTTTGGACTCAGAGACCTACCCAAAGGGCAGTTTTAAGAGCTACTCTCACACTGTGTGTTTGGAAAAAAAAAAAAAACAAGCAAAAACAGACTCGCTCATTTCATACTTGCCTGTGGCCAGCTGACCTCCAGTGCATTAACTGTGGACATTAGCAGAGCCAGCGGTGGACAGTGATTGGTCACTGTGCCGGTTGCTCACGTGTGAACGTCATCGATAAAATTCTCACCAAAGACGCCAACATCTTTTCTGCTTCGCAATAGGAGCCCGACAGCCAGAGCTCACAGGATCTCCATGCAATGGCTTTGCCATCACCTCCAGCTGACCAGTCCAGTATCAAACTGTTGAAGCCTTTAGGCAAAGACTTAGAGAGGTGCCAACAAGACTAAGAAGGTTCTGCCATCCTACAAGATCCTTTATCTACAGACATACGGGTCCAGGGGAAGTGGATGCAGGAGGAGCAGGGAAACATGTGTCACATGCGGGGTTATAACACCAATGTAAATATGAATAAATAGGATGAATTGAACAGAAGCCCGAGCCAAAAAAAAACAAACATAAACAAACTAAATAAACAACACCTTGCCTTGCATGGTACGTGCTATGATTCAAAGGGTACCCATTGTCACCATTCATTTACTAGTACAACCGACATGTCCTCCTGCTAGGATTTTCACCTCCAAGTTGCAAGTTGTTGTACAAAGTTAGCGGCAGAGTGACAGTGTCGTTCATATAGCAGCACAAGGACACAGTGAAAGACAAGGCCCCTGGTACCATATCCATCCCTGGTGTAACTCCAGTGAAGTTATCCGAGTTAGGCTGCCAAGCAGAATCTGCCCCTTGTTATGTGGGTTTAAATCAACAGGGAGGGAAGCTACTCCTCATAGTCCGGCCTGGCTCCCCCTTCCCTTACAGCTCCGCAGGTTTGCAGGGAGAGAAAGCGGAGTTGGTAGCTGTATGTGTATATTAGCTTCAAAGTCTCAGGCACCACTCTTAAGGACAATAACTTCAGTATAAGCAAGATCATAAGCCACTGACTCACACTGATGTGTTGTAGTCGCTGTCACAAACAATCCCCTTGTCTTCAGAGGAACTACTCCTCAGAGTAACCATTCGCCACGGTGAGATAGGGGTGTCTGCAATCTGTGCTTTGTGGTTCTGGGAGGGAAAAGGTTCAGAAAGCATGTCTAGCTGGATGTGCTCCTGGGTTCAGTGTGGACTCTGGTCTGGAAAATGAGAGATTTTCCCCCTGTCTGTTTCCAGCACCACCACCACCACCACCCTCTGGTCTCTGTGCTTCATGGTTGGTTTAACCAACTGAGAAGCCAAATCCACAGTGTCATTTATTAATTGTACCCAGCTCACAATATATTTTGTAATAACGCTGTAAATAATATACAGTCAAATGAATAAAGTTCCACAGAAACGGGTCTGGCTGGAGTTTAATTCAGGGTGGAGATAGCCTGGATTATTGCAATAGTCTGCACACACATACACCCCCCCACATCATCTGCCAGTTTTAAAGCAATTAAATGCCCTGTCAAAAGAAATACAAGCTCTTGTCTCTCCAGGCCAGGCTTCAGGGCCCTCACGTTCTGCTGCAGACATGGAGGGAGTCTCCTGTAGGTGTGGAGACCAAATGTAATATTTCTCATTTTATATAAAGAAAGAGAAAAGACGACCAAATCTACCATCTCTGCTGTAATTCCATTACCTTCAATGTGATCAGTGTGTCCAGAGCCTCTTAACTACAGTTCAATACACTATGTCATTTGATTCATTCATTCTTTAAGTACAGGATAGTTCTCAAATTTTGAAGGTCAAGACTATTTCTTGCTGATGGTTCTAGGCCGGGGGCAATATTTTTTTGCAGGAGGGCCACTTAATGAATTTGGATATGTGGTCAGGGGCTGGCTCCACCCACCCTGCCTAGAAGGGGTGGAGTCTGCGGTGGTAGGGGCGGGGCTGCGGAATAGCCTCCCCCCAGTGTTGTCTGAGGCCGGATGCTTTGAATTAAAAACACAGCAAAGGGCTCGCAGCTCCTGGCCCTGCTGCTACCTCGTTGCCTGTCAGCTGCCCAGGGTTGCTGTGGCTAATAAAAGGGCTCGCTGCTCCAGCCCCTGCCAAGGTATTGCCGCAGCTGTGAGCCGGGAGCCATTTAAATAGGATCCTGCTGCCTGAGCCATCACTTGGAAATTTGGTGGCACAGGCAGCAGGATATAAATAGAAAGTGGCCAGATGGGCTGGATCAAAGTGTGAGGTGGGCCAGATGCAGCCCTCAGGACACATCTTGCCCAGGTCTGTTCTAGTTCTATTCCCCTAGTTGACCAACATATACATTTCCTCTGCAAATAAACATCATGGAGTTGTACTGTGTGTGTTTCCTATATAGCTAACTAAAAGGGGGTGAGCCCAGCAGTGAAACCACTCTTATAGATGGTTACAGAGGTCTGTCAATAGCTACCAACCACTCTTGTAGTTGGTTACAGGGCCCTGTCAATAGCAACCAGCTTTAATGACTGGTGTTACTTCATGCTGCCTGAGCAAAATGTTGCAACCAAATAGAACATGGCCAATTGCGCCGCAATCCTGGTGCAATAATGTACGGCAATCAGGAGAGCTTTTATAGCATTACATTAACTGGATTATGTGCCAGAGAAAAAAAGGCTGTTCTGACAAAAGGACAGGAAGCCGTGAAATCCTCTTCTCATCAGGAAATTGGAAACGTTACCTTAAAAAAAAAAAAAGTCTCAGGAGCAGGATGCAGAGAAAGAAGAACATTATCCGGTCTTCTCTGCCCCAGTCCTTCCAATTTTAACCACGGTAGTTAACCCTGTGGTGGGAATCAACCCCGCCTGGTCTTAATGAAAAGACTGCAATAATAAGGACAATGCATTGTGTGTAAAAAGCCCATTGTTTGATTTTCCAACAATATTAGCAATTTCAAAGCAGGAAATTGCCAAGCAAACGAATGAAAAATACTGGCTATACAGACAAATCAAAGCAGAAAGAAATGTGTGAAAAGCTCCTTCATAATGCAACAAACATACCATCCTCATTGGTCATCCCCCGGGTGACGTTCTTCTCTGTGCAAAGGGACAGAGCAAGGCCTATGCTTCATGTAAAAAAAAACAAAAAATCGTAAAAAGCCAGTGGTCCTGTAGCACCTTAGAAACTAACAAAATAATATCGATAGTATCATGAGCTTTCGTGGGCACAATCCACTTCTTCAGATGAGTGGAGCAAGAAGCACAGACAGGTACAGAGCCCCCAAAATTTATATTAGAAAAAGAGGGGAGAGAGGGAGGAGAAAAGAACCCCCCCACACACACACAAAACCCCCAGTCAATTAAAACGTTCATGCTAAATGAGGCTAATAAATCTTCAAGGGCACGTCTAGACTTGCTTTCACTTTCAAAAGAAGATATGCAAATTAAGTGCAAATTTGCATATCTTCTTCCTATCGCTTTTTCGAAAAAGGTTCTTTCGAAAAAGAAAGTAGTCTAGACACGGTTCTTTCAAGAAAACCCCCTTTTTCTAAAGAACCGTGTAAACCTCATTGTTTTAGGAAGAATGGTTCTTTCAAAAAAGGGTTTTTTTCTCAAAAGAATCATGTCTAGACTAGTTTCTTTTTTGAAAGAACCTCTTTTGAAAAAGCGATCAGAAGATATGCAAATTTGTGCCGAATTTGCATATTGTCTTTTGAAAGTGAAAGCAAATCTAGACGTGCCCCAAGGGAAGTGTCAAAGCCTTGGTCCTTTCAACGGCTCCATGTGAGTTGTATCTCAAGGTGGGACCTGAACCAGTTCCGAATCCAGATTCAAATTTTGTGGATCAAGCTACTTGGAATAATTAATTATTATTTATTTTATTATTATTACTAATAAAGGGGAGAAGCCTCCCAGACTGCAGGAAGCAGAGACCACTCTCCAACCTGTGTACCAGCTTTCCATTCACTCCTGTGCCCCTTCATCCCATCCTCTCCAAAAATCTTCAGTTCTAAGTTGGTCTCACAGAGCCACCTCTAACCCGGATGCCCTGCAATGAAGTCAATTTGTAGTGGGCCACAGATGAGCGGCCCAAACACCACAATTGATTTTCAGAGCAACTCCCCATAAGTCGGAGGATGGAGGTGGGGAAGAAGATAGCACTTTACAATCATCACACCTCCATTGTGGAAGATAGGCAAGTATTGTCCCCAACGGAGAGAGGACACATTCAAGCGCAGAGTAGGGAACCTCTTGTTTTGTGTTCCTACAACATCTAGAGATTTAATCCACGGCTGGGGCCCCTAGATGCTGCTGCAATACAAATACATTTTTAAAAAGTGAAATAATTTTTCCAAGCCTGTGGACAGAGTCAGGAGTGAGATTAGAATTCAGTGCTTCCTAGCACTGATTGCTGGCTTCAGCTTTGTAGACAAGATGCTCCTGTCCTTTATATCACATCTAAAACGTTTTGCTTTCCTGAGACCTGTGGAAATGTTTGTCCGCGCTGCTGGGCAGTAAAAACAATGAGATTTTTTTTTTCACATCACCCTAATGAGAAGGTCTGATTTGTTCCTTACTGACAGGCAGGTATGGTTGAGGGTGAATTCAAGCCAGAAGTCACTGCAATCATCCTTGTTATGGTCATATTTATGGCTCCTTATTAATGAGCAAAGCAACAAGTCCTGTTTAATGAGAATCTTCAGTCCTGCCTTTCTCTTTCTTTGCTAACAGTTCACGGACGATCACTGTGGTTGTTTGCAAGAGTTCAGTATGTTATTTTCTAGAAGCACATGCATCCAGCAAAGTTTTCTCGTCACTCCACTAGCTTCCATTGCAATTATGATATTATCATTCTATTCCTCCTGCTTAAAGAGCAAGCTAACTACAATAGATCTGGATGATTTAATCACTTAGAAGTTTCTTCAGTTATTTAAAATAAAAATCTCTGATGAAAATATCCTGAAAAATCTTAAAAGGTTCAAGAATATACATTTGTTATGGCTGGTACGTAGACATTGGTCAATTTCACATGGTCGGTGTATAATTCCAAAAAGCAAATTGCACATTGACTAGTACACAAGCTATGTGTGATTAAGGATGTGGATGGTTAACCAGTGGGGACTGCAGCAACGCATGCTTCAGGGCCCCATTATACTAGCTTACTCAAACACAACAAAAATATGGTCCTCATCTCAAAGGGCTTACTGCTTAGAACTCGGACTTCTCAGACTCACTCCCCTTCTCAGCTTACTCCTCTTTTGTTTTGTTTTCCCTTTTCTCCATCTCATTTTCTCCAGAATTCTCTCTCTCTCTGCTTCTAGACCAGTGTTTCATAAACTGTGGGGTTTTTTTGTTTTGTTTTGTTTTTTGCTCAACAAAAAATCCTTGGTGTTCCTCATAAAAAAAAAAGTATTGTTTGGTGTTTCTTGGTCGTAAAAAGTTTAAGAAACACTGTTCTAGACTGAGTCTATGTGCCTACATACCATGGTGATGTAGGCACCTAGATGTGCTCAAGTTTCTCCAGGCACCTTCTCTTGTGTATAAGAAAAGAGTTTTTCCGCAAAATCATCTGCTTTTGCGGAAAAACTTGCCAGCTGTCTACACTGGCCGCTTGAATTTCCGCAAAAGCACTGATGATCTCATGTAAGATTGTCAGTGCTTTTGCGGAAATACTATGCTGCTCCCGTTCAGGCAAAAGTCTTTTTCCGAAAAACTTTTGCGCAAAAGGGGCAGTGTAGACAGCAGAGATTTGTTTTCCGCAAAAAAGCCCCGATCGCGAAAATGGCGATCGGGGCTTTTTTGCGGAAAACAAATCTCTGCTGTCTACACTGCCCCTTTTGCGCAAAAGTTTTTCGGAAAAAGACTTTTGCCTGAACGGGAGCAGCATAGTATTTCCGCAAAAGCACTGACAATCTTACATGAGATCATCAGTGCTTTTGCGGAAATTCAAGCGGCCAGTGTAGACAGCTGGCAAGTTTTTCCGCAAAAGCAGATGATTTTGCGGAAAAACTTGCCAGTCTAGACACAGCCCTAGGGTAAGAAGAGAGACCGCTGTAGGGCACAAGGTCAGAGGAACAACCTGAAGAGAAAGGCATCTGACATTTGGCTAAGTTCTCCCCAAACCACAGCACCTGCCCTTCACAATAGACTTTTGATGTCTTTGTTGATTCTGTATATTAGATGGCTCAAGATAATAATCCACAGCTATTGGCTTAGTCACGACAACCTTTGCATGCATGAGCTAAGTAGAAACCTGAAAAAAATGATTAAAATCCCAACTTTTAAAACAGAGTTAACCTGTTCCCAAAGGCTTAATGCCTTCAGTTAGGTTTGATGATGACAAACAATGCAGTGGCACCCACAAACTAATAATTTCTCTTTGTCTGGCGAAAATAAATCCAAGCTGTCAGGGTACTATGGCATTACAGACAATTTGCATTCTAAATACAATATTTTTAGCACTGGGATTTTTTAGAATTTAACATGCCCCGAAGACTTAATTATGG